GGGGGGGCGGTTCTGGCCTCCGGACCGAGAAGCGGGGCGGAACCGTTCTGGCGCGGTGCCCACCTTGCGGGCCTAGGGGTGGTGTGGAGGGGAGGACCCGGCCGTCGGACCAGGCTCGGTGGAGTCCGAATCCCGCTCGTGATGCTGGCGTGGGCGCCCGCGCCGCAGTCTCGCCCGCCGCGGGACTCCAGGGAGGTTTTTCCCGGGAGCCAGACCCTCCACGCGTGACGGGCCTCGCGTCGCCGGGTGCTGCGAGGCTGCCCCGGACCGTGTTGGAGATGGGACACGCGTGCGCACCCACGGGCGGGCTGTGTTCCTCGCGGTCCCGTTATCCTCGGGGCAGAGCAGAGCGGGGACGCAGCCTCCTCAGCCGCCCGCAGAAGAGGGGAGCCGATGTGAGGAGCACACGTGCGGGGGTTGGGGGAGAAGTAGTCAACATCTATTTCTGCGACCTGGGGGGCTGGAGGGGGGAACCAGTGCGCCAGAAAAAGGCTTTCTATGCAGTATGACGGAGTTCTGCCGTTGATATTTGTTTGAGGAACGATTTTGTGAATTGCAGCAATGAGGTCCTGTGATTTATAGAAGCTGTCAGTCATTAAATCTGCATCATCCATGTTTTGTTGCAAGTTCTTTATAACGTGCTCCATTAAAATGTAGACAAGATTATCAAATTAACCGTTTTCAGAGTTGTCCCTGACTGTGATTTTCTGTGAATCATGTCACTATATTTTAAATGTGAACGTAAGTAGGGAGGTGGTGGTTGTTTTTTTAGCTTTGCTTTACACAAATTCTAAAGAGCATTGCTGAGATTGTGTGATACCAAATATATTTAAAGCAATCTTAAATAGTCTTTCATGGCCAGTAGCTTCTGACAATTTCATTTAAAGACCATGGTTTGAGTTTGGTTTTTGTTTTTAATTAAATTACTTTGATAGAGCAAATGAAGTTGCCTTGATAGATAAAGTTAAAAACACATAAATCAATTATTTTGAATTTTTCTATTTTTAATTGAATTTTCCAACAATAGCTACAATAGTTCTTAGTGCTATAGACTATTCACTTTATTTCTTTAAACAACTTATGTAAAGGCATGAAATGGCAATTTGATCAAAAAGCAACTTCTACTTTTTCTAAATATGTTTCTTCAAGAACCTAGAAAATTGAGAAGTTTGTAACTTACATATTACTTAAAAATATTTTGTTGCTGAATATTCTCTACTGTACAAGATGAAGTCCCCTTTCCAAGTTGGTTTGTTTAGCTTCCTGGGCCCTGCGCTAACTGCTGTAGTTCAGTCAATCAGAGCGGTCCTATGTCTTAGGTAATGCTGGCATCCCATTTTTACAGAAGAGGAAATCCCGAAGAGGAAGAGGTAAACTAAATATTTACACAGCACTACAGCCAATGAGTCTGTCTGCTGTGCAGGCCAACCAGAATGCTGTTCCCCCTTTTTACGGACCTGGTCCAGTCCGTTGAACCCATGACAGGGTGCCATCATTTTTGACCCATGGGTTCAACCAGTTTTATAATGTAGTTGAAACAAAACAACTGTGGGGCGTCTCCATTCCCTGTGGAGTAACCCCTGATGGGCCCCTGGTTGGAAACAGAGTAGAGACTTCAAGTGCATGTGGCTCTGTCCCCCATGACCTGCTCCCCTACCTGCTGCTGGCCAGCCTCACTGCATGGACTCTAGTCTCCCCAGAATCCACCTTGACCTGCAGCTGCTTGGCGTCTCTAGGGCTCTGAGCTAGGTGTCCCACTGGAAAGCTTTCCCACGCCAGCTCTCCTGCCACCACTACTACTTGTTACATTTTCAGTTCTTTCTCACATGCCCCATCAGATCTGTGGGTCAGTTTGTTTTCCATCAAAGACTTAATTCTTAGAATTCCTGACCCCCACAACAGCCTTTATATCTGTAGGTATCCATGCCGAGCACTTCCAGAGAGGAGTGTCAGTGCTCCTTGCATGCTTGAGGTCCAAATTCTCACCTAGCTTCTTTCAGTGCTCACCCAACATGTCCGGAGGCATGAGCAGCCATATCTGAGAGATGACGTGATTGGCTGCCTCGAAGCACTTTATTGACTGTACAAGAAGCGTACATGCTGTCTTTGGAGCCACTGACCTTCCCCAGCTGTCCATCCATAGGACCCTCCATTTTCTGTCTTCTGTACATTGTGTGCTCATTATAATATTCACCACTCAAAATGAGGAATGCTGTGTAGACCGCAGAGCTTGCTGGGATGTGTACCTTTCAAGCTTATGATTTTAACAATTGCTATTGTTAAAATCCTTTCATTGTGTTATTACAAGTATCTTACTACAGTGCCAAAATGAGCAGGATACATATACACAGGTATGTGAAGACCCTTGTAATGGCTTATTTCAGTGAAAAAGCATGTCATCTACTCTGTTGACACTAAAATTGGCTCTTCATCCTAACAATGTGATTAGCCAGGAGTGGAAATGCACTTTCTGTTCTCTTCATTGACTTGTAGGCCCATATTTCTATATGGCATGGCAGCCAAGCCATCAAGTCATAGGCCACACCTGAGATGGGTCACATATCCTGCCAGGCAGGCTGTCCCTAACCTAGCAAAACCTAGCAAAAGGTCAGGATGTTTTGCTCCTTCCTTTGTAATATGGAGGATGCCTTGTGGAGATGCTGATTCAAGCCTACATGACAGCTAGCATACAGAGCAGACAGGTAGTTGTGGACATGACAAAAGGTCATTCACCTGGTTACCTAGGAGACAGAATGCTAATGTATTTCACCCTCAGTTAAGTTTTGGTATAAAGACTGGAGAATAAATGAGAGGAATTCTTCAGGATGTGAACTCAGGACTTCATGAGGGACCACTGAGAACCTCCCGATAAAGCCATGTGAGTTGTGTCTTTATTCCCACGCCTTCATGCCGGTCCAGAGAGATAGTTTATGTTGGGGTCTAGAGAAATAATTTAGAGTCCGGGCTATCACCAGACCCCGACACTGGCTCTACCAGCTTACTGCATTTTTTGACTTTAAAATAAAAATTTAGAGTATCCAAGCACATCTGTCTTTTATCACCCTGACGTTTTTACAAGAACTAAAACTTATTTTATACTTCACATTTAATGTTTGATGGCTCTTGGTCCCAATATTCTTTTTTAAAAAATATAATTTCAATTTCCATAAAACGGGATGTGATAATCTAGGTGTGTTTGTACAATTAACTCTACAGAACTTTTTAGTGTCCTCTTTAATTGTAAAGTGGTTTATCAGTTACTGCTGGAAGCACTGAAAGCGATCTAGGGACTCTGGTCAACTTCAGATGTCAGGTAAGAATGTAGATGGAGCCTTGAGAGGTGGTGGTGGTGTTTGAGGGGGAGGGGTCCCCTAGCAGCATGCCTTCTTTTCATGAGGCTTGCTTGCATCCTGTAAGGTGGGGAGCTCTGCTCCCTTGGCGGCTGTAGGATGATTTGTGCAGCCTTTAGACCACCAAGATCTTCCTTCCAGATAGAGCACCAGCATGCAGCTCCAACCCCTGCCCAGCAGTTAAATATTAACTGCCCGTGTAAGGTTTCTGCTCATTTGACCCTAAAGGAAACCGTAGAGGTAAAATCACTGAGAGCCAGGATGCGGGCCCTTGTGTCATGTAATCTGACCTTCATTCCGTGTTTGAACAGATCTCCAAGTAAAAAATAACTGTTAATTATAGGACCGCGAGAATGAGCTTCAGATGCACTCTGTTTTGATCAGTTTCATACTGACTCATGACATTAATTCCAGCAGTGCTTCTCTGGATTGGGCTAATTCCATGTTTTTTTTCTCTTCAGGATCTAGGTCCCTCAGAATGAGTCAGTGGTTATTTTAGCATGCTCGATAGATGCCTTTTGGTTCACAGTGTGTTAATTTTAAACAGCTAATGTGGGTAAACATTTTCTAAGCAAAGGCTCTGACTACTCATGTCATCCCCAGACATTTGATCAAATGTATTACCCTTGCTACAACTAAAAGCATTTTTTTGGTAATTGTGTGGCATAAGTTCCCAGAAGGTCAGTGAGAGACCAAAAGGGGTCCTCTGGGGTGTCAGGCACTTTGTTTACTTCAGTACACTGCAGCTCTGAGTTGATAATTGCCTCCATTTTACAGTTGAAGACAGTGAGGTTCAGAGAGTGGTATGACTGGTTGGTCCCACGGTCCGTAAATCCTGGACCTGTGATTCTCATCAGACCTTCAAAGGGAGTGACTGGACAGGCAGCTGGCCCTTCCATACGTTAAATCCAGATGCTCAGGAGCTATAGTCTCTTTTTTCTCGGTATTTTACCTGATCAGCATGTGAGACCTTCCACGCATTAAAGCTCTCATAGCTAATAGTGCTGGTGTTGTACAAAGAAAAGGAATCTTCTCATGGCTGCTGGGGAGAAGAGAGCTGAGTTTAGTAGCCTGTGCTGCGCTAGAGAGCTGCACACGCGTGAGAATGCAGCAGGGTTGATTGGATTTGATGCATTATTTTTTAAAGAGAGGGGGAGTCATAAAAGAGAGAGGACATATTCAGGGAGTCAGTAAAGAGTGGAATGGGGTGGGTAGGATCAAGATACTTTGTATATACATATGAAATTCTGATAAATCTTTAGCTGCTTCGCTCTGTCTGTGCATAACATCCTTAGGGTTCTTTTCCAACAAAGCGTGAGCGGATAACTATATCTGAAGGTTGGACTGGAGGAACACTGAAGAACTTCAAAGTTCCAGAAGTTTCAGGTTCTGGATAGTCTTCACTAAGAAGAGCAGATTCCTATTGTTTGGTCTATAGGGTGGCCCTGTCACCAGATGCCAGAAGAGATGCATTTAAAGCCTTCAGCTGTTGGGCTAAGGCCAGAACTCAGCAGTAGAGTGAGCACCTTACCTACTGGGCAGGAAGTCCTGGGTCCCATCCCCAGCACTGCAAAACAAAAATCTCTAGGTGTCCAATTTTGTACTCCAAAATCTTTTTAAAAATATTTGACTTTTCATTTCCTGTAGATGTGTAATACATAAAGCTGGAAGCCTTATATTCTCACATTTTCTAAAAACAAATTTCCTACTCAACACATTGTAACTCTGCAGTATAACCTGGTAGCAGGTGGAACTCTAAGACCCTTCCTGAGGAGACTTACTACAGGGGAACCAGGAAGGGAACTGAACTGCGCTTTGCTCCTCCTGTTCTCTTGTTTTCCTCACAGGTAGCCCATTTCCAACAGCTACACTGAGTAAACAAAAGAAAAAGAATAAGACTGTGTAGATAAACTTGAAATTAAGGTGGTGGGGGAGCAGCTTCTGGGAGTCCCAAAGGTTCTTCTGCCTTCGCTACAGGGAAATAGGAGGTCTGCGAGTTGGCTCCATGTGTTCAGTTTTTGCAGGATTTTCATAGCTGAGGATCAATTGTTCTACCAATGAACTGGACCCCCAATCATTTTTTATTGGGCGAGGAAGGGTTGTGCACTCATGTACCACATGTGGAGGAAAGAGGGTAGCTTTGGGAGTCTCATCATCTACCTTGTAGAGGCAAGGTCTCCCTCATTCCCCTGCACTAGTTCTCCAGAATAGCACACAAGCTTGGCAGAAGTACTGAGATTACAGATGCAAGCTACACTATCCAACTGTTTTTATGATTTTAAATCTGGACCAGGGATCAACTCAGGTCATGTGGTTTGCAGGGCATACTCTTTTACCACACTGTCTTCTCATCCAATCCCCCTTTTAAAGACAGTTTTCTTAGCTCAGCCTTGGTCTTCCAGAGAGGCCACACACTGGCAATTCTCCTGTCCCTCTCTCCCAGTTGCTGGGATGAGAGGTGTGTCTCCCAGGTTAATACTTGCAGAAATGGTCATTGCTAGACTTCACATTCTCATTAACCACCAAAGTGTATGTGTTGAGCAGCCTGCAGCCCTGCCTTAGTGGCCCTCATCCCCCTGCTGAGCTACACTAATGGTGCCAGCATCTACTGTTCCCAAATCATTCTGTCCAGGCCAGTCATCAAGTATGTACCATTATAAAAATAGACTTTAAGGGCCACCAACTTGAATAATTATCGCTAATTACACTTTTTTTTTGAACAGCCATGGGTAGCATTGTTTTTACATGGAAATAAAATGTGGTATTTTAAAATGAGTAACACTTTTTGTCTAACAGTTCCGCAGTGTGTGCCCTATATTTATAGTGTGTGTCAGGAATTAAGGAGCAGTGAGAAGCTGCAAGCTCACACTGTGGCAGACAGTAGGATGGGTGGCACCCGTGCCGTTGGGTTCTGTGTCCAGATACAGCTGTCTGGGGAATAGGATGACTGCAGGGTGGGAACTAGGGAAAGAAACTACTCAATTGTGAAATCAGGAAAGAGAAGAAGGATCAAGGAGTCTGAAGACAGCCTTGTAACTGTCATCAACTGATGCGCCAGCAAAAAGCCACAGCCTCTAGTTCCCCTCTGAGCGGCTGGGACACTGCTAGGCAGTGACTGCAGACATTTCTCTGTGCCAGGTTCCTGACCTCTGTGGCCCAATGGCCAGACTTAACTTTCTCTTCTCCCTCAGCTGACCAGGTTTCAACACTCCAGCTGGGCCTGTGCCTAGCTTCGTGAAGAGTGTAGGCCCCAGCCAGTCTCTGACACTTCTCCAACTAGGGGCAGGGTACAGACACTAAGTCTGAGACAGTGAGAGTCTCAGTGACAGTGGCCAAGTCACAGCCACTCAGGATGAGCACACAGAGGTAAGGAGGACTTCCATGTCTGAACAATTCTAGCCTGTACCTCCCTCTGCACTGGGTGACAACCCTGCAGCCCACAACATCTCCATTTGCCAAGTCTTAGTACGACTTGCCCCAGGTGATGTGGGTGTGTCGCCATCTTTCAGTCTTGATCCATAAGGCAAAGTCCTGAAATCTTCTTCCCCAGGAGCAAATGTGTCATCCAGCTCAAGGGTCCAAAGATGCGGCAGGGGAGGGCCCAGGTTCAGATCCCAAACTGATGTGTGAAAAGTGGCAGCATAAATACATCAGGGTTTCATGAGTACATGGGCCCCAAAAAACTACCAAAATGCCTGGGGTACAATGTGTTAGTTAGCTTTCCCTAAAATGCACAACAAAAAACAATGTAAAGGATTTCTTTCAGCTCAGAGTTTACAGGTTACTGGAAGGCAGTCACAGCTGCAGTGGGGTGGGGCCGCCAGTCCCAGTGCATCCATGGTCAGGAAGCAGAGAGAGACTGCCAGGGTTCAGCCGCCTGTCTCCGTTCTATTCATCTGGTGTGAGAGCCCCAGCCCACATTTGTTGGGTCTTTCCACTTCCATTATCTCAATATAGAAATTCTCTCACTGAGAGACACAGACGTGCATCCTCTAGGATGCTCTAAGTCCCATCAAGGTAACAAGATTAACTACCACACACTGTAAGTTTTCAATAATTATTACCATTTTATAAATCAAGGGGGACGTGAACCTGCATTAGCTCATACTGCTCAGCGTACGTGTGCTTTGGAATATTTGTAAATATCTCTTACATATGTAGAAATTGCTTTTCACACAGCTCAAAATGCGTGGTCATCATTTTTCTGTGGCTTCCAATTGCATAAGCCACTTCCTACTGCTGGTGGCAGGAGGTAAAAGGACCACAGCCTGGCAGGAAGGAGCTTGGACCCCAGCCAGCTGTGCTGTCCGAAGCAACAGCTTCTCAGAAGCTGGGCACGGTTCTTCACTCTCCACTCCTGGATGGGAGAAACCACTTGCAGGAGCCAGGCAGAGGCTTCTGCATGCCCATCACTGCCCCAGAAGCAACTGACCAGTTCCTTGAGGGGTGTCGAAGGTCACCTCTTCTAGAGTGCTCAGGAGGTAAGTGGACAACCGTCATCCTCCAGGCTGTGCTGGGACTCACCACAGCACAGTGTAAATGCCACTGGGGTGCTCCAACACTGCCCCACAGGCCTGGTGACAGGACTCAGAGGTGAAAGAGAGCCACTGGGCATGCTGGTCCAGGCTTGTGGTTCCAGCTGATTGGGAAGCTGACACAAGGACCAAGAGTGAGTTTAAGGCCAGCTGGGTAATTTTGATCCCATCTTGATCTTTAAAAAGGTGAAAAGACGCCTTTAAAAAGGTGGTGGCGCATGCCTTTAACCCCAGCACTCGGGAGGCAGAGACAGGCAGATCTCTGTGAGTTTGAGGCCAGCCTGGTCTACAAGAGCCAGTTCCAGGACAGGCTCCAAAGCTACAGGTGAAAAGACAACTGACGACCAAAAATGTAACTCAGTGGCAAAGTGCTTCCCTAGTGTGCACGCGTGGTGTTTAGTCCCCAGTAGAGAAGAGATGGGAGCCAGCTGCCCGATGTCTTGAGCCAGTCCAGAGTTTCCGGTCTCAATGTCTGGGTACCACAGTCCTACTGCAGGAGAGTACCACAGCCCACCTGCCCACTCAGCAAGACTGCTTCCTTCTCACCAGACAAGAGGTCAGCAAAAGCCACTGCCCACTTTTAAAAAAAAGAAATCCAATACCAAGAGGAAAACAGCTCTTGCTGTGAGGAACTTAAACACCTTAGATGAACAGAGGGGAAGACGAACGTAGTCGTGGGTGGCTTCTGCAGAGACGTTCACACGTGGCACACGGCTCCCTGTGCTTTCTTCAGATGTCCTCTGAACAGCCCTTCAATCACCAGTGGACCCCCGGCCTGACACCACAGCTTCCATTGCTCAGCTGCATGCCACCATCACTACCACCCACCTCCTAGGTCACATGACCTGCAAAAAGCATTTACCCCTCAAGCCAAAGCTTGCCCCCAGTGCTTTTCAAGGCATCATTTCAAAGTGAAAGTCTGCACGATTAAACCGAGGTACTTAAAAAGAAAAAGGAAAAAAGATCTCTCAAGGCCTTGGATCTCTTAGGAGCCCAGCTTCCTAAATAACCACACGCCCCACTGTAGCCCTACCGCTGAACAAGATTTGCATTTGAATCTGTGTTTTCTTCACCAGGAGGGCCACGCTACCGAAAGACACCTGGGACACCACCCAGTCTGTTGTAAGTGCGGCCCTTTCCTCCGCAGCTCTATTTCTACTTACTGTGACCCTTGTACAGCACTTCAGCAATAAGTGAAGGCAAAACTGTAGACCACAACACAAAATGTCCTTTTCATACCAGATTTCCCCACAGCAAAATTCCAATAATATTACAAGTTGTCTGCTCTCAGTTCTGAGCCCACCTTTTGGGCTTGCGTGGCTCTCAACCACAAGGTTTCCCCAGGTGTCACCTTTCTATGTCACCATGGGGTCCCTGTTGGTCCCAGGACAGGCTATCAGAGTGTGATCCACTCTAACCAGGAAACTTGCTGGTTTAACAAGATGGGATCTCTTGCCATGTATGCATCCCAGCACTGTAAGATGTACCACCAAAACCTTGTTACAGCTGCCTGTCAATTGAACTTCCTGAAGGTAACTTTTTAGAAATACTTTGCTTGAATTTGATTATTATTTACTGTCCATTTGGCATTGGATTCTGTGGTCTAAACATGGCCTTTACAACATTCATTGTAAATTATGTCATTATGTCATTGTCAGGATGTCATTATGGCAAAGGGAATCGCATAGGAAGGGAAAAGCAGCCAGGAAAGAGCTGAAACAGGCAAAGCACACCCCCATCTCCTCTGCTAGTGTAGCAAGGAGGGGGCCACTTGTTCATCCTGGCCACCCAGAACCAAAATAACCACACAGAAACTGTATTATTTAAATTACTGCTTGGCCCATTAGCTCTAGCTTCTTATTGGCTAACTCTTACATCTTAATTTAACCTATCTCCATTAATCTATGCATCACCACAAGGGCGTGGCTACCAGCAAAGTTTCAGCACGTCTGTCTCCAGCGGCAGCTCCATGGCTTCTCTCTGGCTCCGCCCTTCTTCTTCCCAGCATTCAGCTTAGTTCCCCCCCCCCCAGCTAAGTTCTGCCCTCCGATAGGTCCAAAGCAGTTTCTTTATTCATTAATGGCAATCACAGCACACACAGGCAAATCCCACCTCCTTTGCTAAGAAACAAAACTACAAGCCACTCCATGCCGTTTGGGTCTGTTTGTTTTTTTTTTTTTTTTCAAAGATCCAAACATCAAGAGGCCACTTCTCAGCCACGACCAAGCTCGGTGTGAAGCTCCATGTTTACGTTCTGGGCAGCCCTATAGACCTGCCAGACTGGGTGCTTGTTTGAAATCATTTGCAATATCTATGTCATTGAAGAAGAAAAAGAAATCCTGACCTCTGCATAATGTTATGAAAGAGTCCTTGGATCTGTCATCTGTTCTTAATTGTAATGGAAGTGCATTACTAGTCAACTTCAGAAAAACTAAAACATTAACAATAATAAATAATTTTTTACAAGATGGAGCACTGTGTCTTTTCCCTCAAGAGTCAAATGGAAATGGTGTGGTGGCCAACTCCTGTGATCCCAGCACTGGTAGGCAGAGGTAGGACTAGCTAGAGTTCAAGGTCAGCCTGTCTCAAAAAGCAATGCAAGGAAAAAATAGAGGCCTTGGATTTTCCTGCTAACTAAAACTTATAGCGTATTCCACCTGGGCCGTAGTATCCAAGAGCCAAGACCCCATAGTTCAAACCACTCCAGGGTTCATGCTCACCCTGGGCAATGACACATATTGGGTCTTTTCAGCACTCTGGGTTCTATTACTCCCCAAACTCTCACGGGGCATTTGCATATCTTGACCCCCTCCTGCTCTAACCAGGCTCTGCTGGATGCCAGCATGCGTAGATCTCCAGAAACTACCTGTGACCACTACAAACATCTACCATGTCCAGGGTGCACTCAGCCAGCTGCCACCTGGTCAGCCCCCTCCGCCTGCATCCCTGCATCCCTGCATCCCTGCATCCCACTTCAGCTCTCTGACTGCTTCTCCAGTTCTGCACCAGAACTCCTCTCCTCAGGATGCCTGCAGAGCTGAGCTCAGCTTCCACCACCTCTCCTCATCCCTGCTGCCTCCAAAACAAACACAAATTAGCCAAAGGACAAAGGTATTTCCGTGAAGAAAGGTCAGAGCTTTAGACATTACCAACCCTGGGAAATCACAAGGCTGCTGAAGGGTCCGGAGGCTGCCCTCATTTACATCTCAGCAGAGGCCAGGGTCAACCACTCCCAGTCTTTCTTAAACATTCTGACCAGTGCTAAATACAGGTGCAGGTTACAGGCACCTTCGCTGTTCTTGGTGTTTGTCTACGCTTTGGGCTTTGGGAACCTGAGCTCAACCCCCAGGCATCCATCCTCCTGCCCCTCAAATGGTCCTTTCTCTCTTGGGCATTCTCTTGGATGTCCTGACTTTTCATTTCTCACCATGTGTCTCAAGAAGTATATCTCATGTTCGATGTCTTAGGAAATTGTTCTTACTAACTATAGTCGTTTGAGAACTATCTCCCGTAGGACCAGGCATTTCAATACTTGGTCGCCCGTTGGTGATGCTGTTTGAGGAGGCTTAAGAGTTGTGGCCTTGTTGAAGGAGATGTGTCAATGGAGGTAAGTTTGGAAAGTTTGAAGACTCACTTCATTTCCAGCTCTCTCTCTCTCTCGCTCTCTCTCTCCTTTCTTTTTTTTAAAAATATTTATTTATTTATTATGTATACAATATTTTGTCTGTGTGTATGCCTGAAGGCCAGAAGAGGGCGCCAGACCTCATTACAGATGGGTGTGAGCCACCATGTGGTTGCTGGGAATTGAACTCAGGACCTTTGGAAGAGCAGTCAGTGCTCTTAACCGCTGAGCCATCTCTCCAGCCCTCTCTCTCTCTCTCTCTCCTTTCTGCTGTCAGTTTAATATATGAGCCCTCAGTGTCCTGCTCCTGTTGCAACTTGGACTCTGCCATCATGGACTCTAATCCTCTGGCATGGTAAGCCCAAACAAACACTGTCATAAGTTCTTTAGTCATGGTGTTTTGTCAGGCGTAGGCCCATATTTCTATATGATGTGGCATCCAGGCTGTAAAGCCATAGGCCCCTATGTGACAGCTAGCGTACACAGCAGACAGGTAGTTGTGGACATGACAAAAGGCCATTTACCTGGTTACCTAGGAAACAGAATGCTAATGTATTTCACCTTCAGTTAAGTTTTGATATAAAGACTGTTTGGAGAATAAACGAGAGAAAATTTCATGATGTGAACTCAGGACTTCATGAGGGACCATTGAGAATCTCCATCCCGATAAAGCCATGTGAGTTGTGTCTTTATTCCCACGCCTTCAAGCCGGTCCAGAGAGATAGTTTATGTTGGGGGCTGGTCCAGAGAAATAATTTAGAGTCTGGGATACCACCAGACCCCAACAGTCACAGAAGGTAACCAAGACACGGTCCCTCCCCTCAGAGACTCCTCCTGTGGGGAACCTCATTGAAGGACCCTCCGTATTCTTTCCCAGTCTCTCCTGGATGTCTGTCTATTCTTATACAGAGTGTCACTGGACTTATGTTGGCCCTGAGAGGTAAAATGATAGATGACCTAAGGCTCTGTCCCTTATGTGGACCTTGGGCAAGCAGCCTGGTCTCCTCATGTTTCTCAACTGCATAATAGGAAAGCCAGTAACATCCATCCATTGGGTTAGAGACAGTGCCCAGAACCACATAACCAGACATGGTAGCACAGGCCTAAAATCTCAGCTATTGGGAGGCAGAGCAGAATCAGAAGTTCAAGATCATTCTTGGTTACATAGAGAGGTCAAGGGCAGCCTGGGACACATGCAACCCTGTCTTAAAATAGAAATAAAAGCCCTCTGCCTCTGTGTACATACGATGATTCTTTAATGTAGGAAGCCACCTGGAGGCACAGGTGGTCCTGCAGTTTGGAGGTATACAAGTCCATACCTGGCTTAGCCACGTGGGGCTGAGCACCCTTGCCTGCACCCTTGCTTGCACATGCTCAGACCAGCAGAATGGCATTAACCAATCAGGACAGCGTTCAAGCCTCTCCACCGTTTAAAAGCAGCTGCCTCTGGGCTCAACTTCCTCTCTCTAAGCTTTCTCTCGTCCCGGCTCTATCTTCCCTTCCCCCAATTTTCCTCAATCAAATGCTCCGAATAAAGACGTGACCAGGGAAGGAATTCTCGTTTTAGTGGCGTTCATTCCTGCTGGTCAGGATGCGCGTCGCACTTTAATACATAGTGACTTCTACATGATTCTTATTAACATCTAGTTATTGCCCTTAATCTGGCTCTCCTTGCCAAGTACAATGAGAAGCATGGCCATTTAAAAATAAGTGCTAATCTGTACCTTCAAGAAATTCCCAGGATGCTGAAGGGGTGAGCACCGAGGAATACTCTGTCTCTTAATGGGAATATGCTGGGTTTTTTTGTTTGTTTGTTTGCTTGCTTGCTTCTGTGATTTAGGGTCTCTCTCTATAGCTCTGGCTGTCCTGGAACTAACTCTTTCTGTGTAGACCAGGCTGGTCAAAGTCACACAGATCTGCCTGCCTATGCCTCCTGGGTGCTTGGGATTAAAGGTATGCACCACCATGCCTGGCCTATGTTTGGGGACTTTGGGGGACACTAAGCAGAATCTCCTAGCTCCACCAATGAACAAAAGCAGAGGAAGGTTATGCAGAGAAAGCTCCTTAAGTTGCTGGCCTGAGCTAACTAGTTGCCTCTGGAACATGACAGAAGGACACCTGCCAGGAAGACAAGGCATGCCCTTGGTGGTGGTATATGGCTGCCTCTCCGACTACTTAGATAGAGTTCATGCATATGGGCTCCATGGCAAAGGACCTCTGGATCCTGGCCTTGTGGTTATACCTCAGCTTTAAAACACACCTTCCTCTGGGGCAGTGTGCAGGACGTGAGATGCATCTTCATGTGGCTTCCACTGGGAGGGCTCTTTCAAAGCCTGAAACTTCCCACAGCTCCATAAACTTCTCTTAGTGTCCCCAGCAGCAACTCCACATCGTCAGCCCATCCTCTGTGAGATCCTGGCTGCTCCAGTTTCCGGGTTTGCAAGTAAGTGTATTGTCTCTGCTTCCCCCTCTTCCAGCAAGGGTGCACTCCCCATGCTGATATGAGACGGTAGCTACTGTGAGTTGCTCTACGGGAATGTCACCGCAGGAGTGCAGTCCCAGCTAGGATCCTGCAGCAGCATGCGTGAGGTGGAGAACGGTGGTAACTTGGTATCTTTATTACCCTTTCTTCCTGGGTGCGAAGCCTCCATTTCACACCTCCCTAGAGGCCAGGCTGGCCAAGTGATGAATTCCAGTCAACAGGATATGAGCCTAAGCAGTTGTGCCCCTTCCAGGTCTGGTCTGAAGACATCCTCTCCCTTTTCTCCTCCATCATTGCCTGACTGGTTCCAGACAACTAGGAAGGAGCCTTATGGAAGACATGGGTCCCACCATGACAGCATGGACAAAGGCCATCTTTCAGAACTTTCACTTGCCATGATTCCACAGCCCAAATAAAGTTTTTCTGTATCTGTACCAACATACAGGCCCTGGATGTACTCTGAGCTTGGAGGGAGGGCCAACGCTGAAGTGGAATGTGGGGGGTAAAGTTGTGTGTTCAGCACACTCCCCATCCTTCACCCTCCTGTAACAAGAGCTCGTTCCCCACCCCCTCTCTGGGAAATCTGCTGGATGATTTTGGTGACCTGGTGCCACAGTCACCAGACTGACCAGGCGGTCCACAGTGGGTGGAGGGATGCACACCCTACACACCCGTGGGTCACACCAACTGGATCAAGGGTAGCTACTGCCTCACCAAAAGCAGGTTAAATCAAACCTGTGGCAAGTGTGGCCAGAGTTGTGAACAGAAAACAGGGCCTCTTGTTTGAGTGAGATTCCCGGCTAAAGACAAAGATGCTTCAGGGAATCCCGGTAGTATAACAGAAGTTTGTCAAAGAAGTCAGGGACAGGAAGCAGAGCTGAAGAGGAGCTTGGCCTTGTGACTTTTGGAGCTCTTGAATCCTTTAACACTGACTCCCAGTTACCTTGATTCACAAATCAGGCTTAAGCTGATTGGAGCTACTTTCACCAGCTTAGAGGTACAAGTTACCAGTTTACCAAGCTTTACCCAGGTAGCCCTAGTTCCCCTGGCCTCTGACTCAGGCGCAATGCCCTACACACACACATACACACACACACACACACACACACACACACACACACACACACACACACACAC